GGTGCTGTCTCAGACCCCCTGCCCTGAAATGTGGGCTTTGCAGAGAGGAGGAGCCCAGCCAAGGCCTGGATGCTGCTCAGCAGGGCTGCAGACAGCATCTCTCCCCAGAGCAGGGTGTTTTTGGGGTGAACAAGGGTGCTCCTGGCAGGGTCAGTGCTGTGGTACAGATGGAGGACGTGTTATGATGTGGAAGATGCCGATTATCCCGTGCTCCCCGGCCGCCTGTGCATGACAGGTCCAGCATCACCTCCTCACTCCTGCCCAGTGCCCCCTGCTCTGCCCCATCCCCACCACTGGGGCCAGGGAGGGTCCTAAGGGGTGGAGGAAGGGGAGCCCCATCACAGAAGGTGCAGGGTCAGCGCAGGATCCAGCCGTTTCCCATCCGGGAACTCTCTGGGGAGGCAGCTCTGGGCACCAGGCATGTTTCGCGTCCTTTTGGGAGGCCGGGTCATTTCGGGAGGTGTCTGAGCAAGGAAGTGCTCTGTAAACAGCTGCCATCAAATGTGCACATTCAGCCGAAGCGGGTGATTAATGGTCCTGGGGTTTTGTTCCCTTCATCCTGTGTTAACAGAGCCACTTCCTGGAGCTTCCTGCAGCCCTGGAGGCCCTGGCCCAGCCACTGCCCTCCCCAGCAGGGGCCCGCACGGTGCCATGGTTTCACCTCCACTCCAGGACCCTTGGGGGATGACAGAGAGCGAAGGCCCGGGGGGAAGTTGGTCAGGGCTGCACCCCTGGTGTGGGCTGCAGGCAGGTGAGCACCAGGCAATGGGGAAGGGGAGCTCCATAATCTTACCAAGGTTTAGAGAAGGGCAATACTGCCCTCACAGACCATGCTGGCTGCTGCAGGGTTTTGGGGCAGGAGGGACAAAACACAACTAATAACTTAAATTACCCAAGCGCTGGAAGCTGCCCTTGGCTGGGGCCTGGTGCAGGTTTGTGCTGGGGCTCCTGCACCAATGGACCAGCACCGACAGATCCTGGGGTTGGCCCCGGTCTCTCGGTGCCCATCGGCGCTGGCTGCCAGGTCCATGTCCGGTGCTGGGGCTGCAGAGCCTCGTGGCTGGGGACCAGGCTGACGGCACCACAAGCGCTGGCTCTGCCAGCCCTTGGCATTGCTCCCGAAGCTCCCAAGTGCCCCTCAGTGTGATGCTTCAGGTGGAAAAACCCATAAATCAGTGCCTGAACCAGAGCTGAGCACTTACAGAACAGAGCTTTCCTTTAAAAAGCAGCTTTCCCGGACTGGTGACCAGCAGCTTAATTGTTACCAGAAATCCAGCGCCTCGTCATGAACTTCCCTGGTTCGGGACAGAGCCCTTGACGCTGCGAGCGCCTGGAGGCTGCCGTGGCCTCTGCTGCAGGCAACACGGATTGCGGAGGACAGCAGACTCATGGGCACCTGAGGAACCTCCTGCTCTGGCGGCGATGGAGGGGATGGGTCCAAGCTCAGAGCACGTGGCAGGGTCCCCATGCAGTCCCTAGGCTTGGCCCCGCGCTGCCCCAACAGCAACTCCACCACCATCTCAGGGTCTCTCCGCACCCAGACCCCAGGCCCTTCCTTGCATCCCGGGGGTGCAGGCAGCTCCCCCTGCCCCAAGCTCGGCCCAGGGATCAACAGGACACAGATACAGGCGGAAAGAGCCAAGGCACCGGGACAGTTTTCCACCCAACAGGAAACCCTTTGGGTCGCAGCAACGGGAATGAGGGCTGTCGAGAATCAGCATCCCAAGCGTCTTTCCTGGAAGCCGACGGGGACTGTTCCTCGCGCAGGGGCTCTCACCGGCAGCGCTCGCACCAGGGGCAGGTCTCAGGAAACAAAACAGCTCAGTGCAGACAGACAAATCCCAGACAAACCGCAGCGGGAGAGCGCTGGCCCCGGCACAGGATAACCCTGTGGCACCGCTGGCAACACCACAGCCCCTGGGGCTGGGGCGTACCGGGGGCTGTCAGCACCGCTGCTCGCCCGTGCCCGCTGCTAAACGATGGGGCTAGAGCGGGGTGAAGGCCTGGAGCGTGGTGCAGCCGCCGGGATCTACCCCTCGTGCGCTGGTACGGCCGCGGTGTCCCCATCACAGCGGTGCTGCGCTGTGTTGTGCGTGCCGCCCGAATGACCCCCACGGCGAGGAGAGGATGGGCAACAACAAACTGCGGTGAAACACCTTTCCTTTCTCTGCAGGGAGGTGCAGAATCAGAGAAGCTGAGGGCTCTCTCTCAAATAAAATGACAAAAATAAATCTAAGCTCAAGCCCGGAGGAAATAAAGACAAAAAGCAGCACATGGAGCCACCATTACAAGACATCGGCTGTCAAACTCCAGATCCCAGCCAAGGGCTGTCTGTACCCCCTGCGATTGCACTGTTCACTTGGTCCCATCCTCAAACACCAACACAGGTGTTTAAATGGGTAAGGTAAGATCTAAATCATGCCTGGATCGCTATTGTAGGATCAAGGGTGAACGTGAATTGGCTCCAAGTCCATTTTTGCCTGGAGTATTTTGGTTTGAAGGAATCAGTAGAGGTCTCTTGACAACTTGTGCCCACTGGAGGTCGGTTGGCATGGCCCGATGGCTCCCAATGGCCTCTGCAGAGCATCCACAGGGGCCGGGGCACGGGGAGGGCTCTGCAGCGGGGGAAAGATGAGGACAGAGAACTTCCGACACCACAGGAAAGCAGCAGTTTAATAAATAACCCATCGGAGGGAGAGATTATCCAGTTCCAAACACAACCTGAACCGAAATAAACACATCTCATCATCAGCTTAAAAAAAGACACAAACGCAGGCAATAGTAACATGTGAGCAGAGGAACCGCGCTCTGCAGCGGACGCGGCTTTGCCACGTGCCCGCACTCTGAGGACGACCCAAGATCTCAGCAGCCACTGAAGTGCAGAGAACAGAACAAACTCAGTCAAGTAACAAGTTACTGCTTTGCAAAATTAATGGCAAAAGAGAAAGCAATGGTTTAACGCGGGTTTTAATGCAACAAGGTCAGTTTAAACTCACTCGAACTGCTGCCATTCGTACTGCAGAAGGGCACCTAAGCCCATTTTTGCCCTTTGCCGGTACCAACCAGAACCGTAAGTGACTGCAGAGGACTTCTGGGAACGCCGGTGTTGAACAGCCAGGCTCGGCCTCTACACAGCAGATCAAGGGGATTTTAAGAAAAAGCTCTTTTAAAAAAGTTGCGTTTTCATATAAAGTTAACAAAAACTGGCAAACCTAGCTGAGCGCTCCGTGCAGGTTCTCCATCCTCCCCCAGGATGCTGCAGGGGCACCGGCCCTTCAGAACTGACGTTCTTCATGCGGGGCTGGTACTGCCGGCCCCCCCAGCCCAGCTCCTCCTCTAGCATGGGCAGAGGGGGGTCCCATCCCTGTGCCGATTGGGAGGGGACGAGCCCGGACCCCGCTGAGCCCGACGAAGGGAACTCCAAAACCGCGGGAGGGGACCCCCCCGCCCGCTCCCAGCGCCAGAACAGGGGGCACCTCTGGGGTGGGCAAGTGGCCCTGCCCCACGCCCCACGGCGAGCCCCGTCCCAGGGCCAGCCCCACGCTGGTGCAGCCAGGGCGATGTCCAAGTCACCTCACGTCGGGAACAGCGCTCGCAGCCAACCTGGTGCAGCTGCGCGATGCTTCACCCCCGACAGCCCCAGAAAACCCCCCCATGGTGCAGTCCTAGAGCAGCCAGGCCACAGCAACACCGTGGCATCGCCGGCCCTGAGCCCCGGGCCCTGTGCACGAGCTGGGGATGTCGGCGCCGCAGGAAACGTGGGCGTCGTGCTGGGATGGACGGGACCGAACCTCACCCGGTTCTGCTGTCTGAGGGGCAGGAGAAGCCACAGGCAGCAGCGGTGGCAGGAGGGAACAAGACCAGAAACACCTTGGTTTCAATAAACTATTCAATAAAGGAAAGGACTTTAAAAATATATCTCTATATACTTCATATCATATAAATTATGCTCATCTGTTTTGTAACGTTGCACTATATTCTACCCGTGAAGCTCCAAGTGCCTCAGTGTGAAGGAGGTAACGATTCGGTGTTTCATTTCACTTTGTGTGTGAGGGACAAACCTACTTCAGCCCATTTTAACAGCGTAGATCAATGAATCGCAGACATACTCGGTAAAGCTCCGGTCTGAAAAAGGCATTTTTGTGAGCAAGACAGAGCTGGGATTGCTGCTGGAAGGTTAAGTGACTGGACTGCTTCAGGAAGGATGCTGTGCACACACAGTACAGACCATCCCCACCACCTCTGGGGATCTAGAGCGTCACTGCAGCCAGATCGGGAAAACCGGAGTCACTGCAGCCCCTCTGCTCCCCCGGCTGCGATAGCATCCACACCCCAAACCTCGGGGCCAAGGGGGCTGCGCTCTGCACGGGCAATCATCCACAGTTCTGATTGCAGGATCTGGGCACCAGGCTGGATTAATGCGAAACAAACTACAAATGATTTACTCGAACCAATAACCAACTGTCCAGAAGATTGGTAAACAGACATGAAACCATCGGCTCAGCCCCACGCAGGCAGGCAGCGGTTCCACGCTGTCAGCATCTGACAGGCGCTCAAGAGAGCCACAAGAGACCGCAGCTCTGGATCTCCCAGAGCCAACGCAAACTGTCCCCGCTGACAAACTCCCGGGGAGGGCACGGATGCACCTGAGCTCGCATCCCCGTGCCCCAGCGGCCGCACAGCCAGGACCGAGCGGGGCTGATCTCCCGGGGCCGCCTGTGGGTGGAGGCAAAGGGGGGTCACAGCGGCAGCCCCCATCGCCCGTCTGCAGAGACCTGGGACGCTGACAGCGCTGCCCCTCTTTGGGCCCCTCTGCCAGGTTCCCCGTCCCAAACCCACAGAGAAGGGATCCCGACCAGAGGATGAGGACCACGGCTCTGCACACACCCCTCAGACAGGACAGTCTGTGACCTGTGCGCCCTCAGTTCCCTCAACCACCAATGCAAGTGTCCCCTGCTCAAAGCCACCACCTCTGCTCCTGCTCAGACGAGAGCAGTTGTTTCCTGCCTGCTGTGTCTCTCCATGCCTCTATAAACAACCGAGCGCTCCCACCCATCTGAGCTTTTCGCAGCGCTCAGCTCAGGTGTCTGCTCTCTCCAAGCAGAGCACAGCCCTGCAGAGGCTGCAACTCCTTCAACAAAACAAAACCCTTCATAGCAGGCTCAGAGCCCAAACAGAGCCCAAACCTGTGAGTTCAAACCAGTCACAGTCATCACCACCAGGACCTTCTGGACTGAGAAAACACAGGCTATGGTCATTATCTGGTTTTAATATCAGATGGCAAGAGCCTGGGGAAGAACCAGCGTGCTTTATAAACGTGCTCAAGATCAACAGCATTTCTTTGACCTTTCTCTCAGGAAACCGCGCTGCATCAAAGCGCTCAGCAGAGTTCAGTTGTTTCTCCAGACCCTCAGAGCTGCATTTCCTAAACAACCCCTACAGACCCACAAGATTAAAAGCCTGAAAATCTTTCTGTGTGTGGAGGCAGCGACAGACAGATGTTACCTCAGCGTAACACAAAGAAACACCAACAGAAATACACATGTTGTGGACCCTCTCTCCACTGCCCATTCTCCCTTGTGCCAGTTGCAGCTTCTTAACGTTTCTGACCTTCATCACAACACCGAAGTCAGTGGAATTTTTGGGGGGTTAAGTTTCACTTGGACCAGAATGGGCAAATCCATCGGATCTGAAGCGGGGAGGATCTGCGCACCACTGCCCACCCTGCCCGTTCCTCATGCACAGACATTCGCCTGTGTGTGACCACAGCAGAGGCCACGCACAGCGCAGGGCAGTGGCCAGGCCTGCCCCAGGGGCGCCCGAGCCGTGAGGGGGGCAGCAGCGGGGACCACCACACAAGGGGAGCGTGATTGCGCCACCGACGCCTCCGTCTGCTCTGTGGGCAGCTCGGTCAGTTCACGTTAGGACAGAGACAACGCTGCTCCTCCATTTGTGACAGGCGAGGGCAGTATTTGGCAGGTCACACCATGGAGTTCAGCATTCGTGACCAAGGGCGGGTTTGCTTTACAGAACGATCCCTGGAGCGGAGGGGTTTGATGCCCACCCCGTTCCCATCAGCACCGGTGATACAATCCCATTTTGCACCAGCTGGGTGTATTTGGCTCGAGGAGAAACCCTGTCCCCTCTCAGCTGTCAGTGGCACCGTCTGTCACCTCCCTCGTCTCCCCAAACTCCCACCGGCCAAGTCCGTCTATGCTTTGGGGCTGACGCCAGCCAGGTCCCCTCTCCGAACCTCACACGCTGCTGTCCTCGAGCAGGGGCTCTTAGCCGCTGGTTTGCGGGCTGTGGGCGTGGGTCTGGGCCCCATTGCTGTGCTTCTTGTGGCTGCCCGGCCGCAGTGCCAGGCTGTGCTCTGGGATGAACAAAGCCACCAGCAGTGACAGCAGGACGGAGCAGGCCCCAAACAGGAACGGAGGCCCCGGGATAATGCCGCTCTGTAGGGAGAACCAGGAGCGGTCAGTGCTCGAGGGCAAGGACGGACACAGCCCAGCAAATGAAGGATAAAGCTGACTAGGTTACCTCATCCGTGGGGTTGGCCATGTTGGGTTTGGAGGCCTTACCCAATGTTTCCACCTCAGCCATTTCATTCAGCTCCACATGGAAGAGATAGAAGACGAAGCCATAGAGCGCCGGCCCCAGGCCATTACAGAGACCGCGAATTCCAGTGATCATCCCCTGCACCACACCTGGGGACAGAGCACAGAAAGGAAGATTTGCCTCCAGCTTTCTGAGGAAATTGTTTTGTTCAAGGATGGTTACATATTTAAAGACAGGCTCAAACATTTGGGCCTGGACTGACATGCACTCCACAGACAAGTGGTTTTTGAGAATAAAACGAGCGTGGGTACATCAAGCAACAACTGCCAACTGAACTGGACTTTGAGGCAGCCGGGCTTGAGGACTCAGGGTTGAATCATGAAGGTGGCAAACAACGAAGGAGCAGCCTCTCCATCACAAACCCCCAAGCCACTCACCCTGTTGGTCAGGGTCCGCGTTCCTCGACACCATGGCACTGATGGCTGGGAAGGTGATGCTGGACATGGCAGCCACAGCTCCCGCTGCCCACATCATCCTGGGGAGGAAGCGGCAGCAGTGAGGGGGGCTGCGAGGGCCAGCGCAGAGCAGCACCACGGCGGGGCAGGACCTGCCTCTGCCAGGCCACAGGGAGCTGCTGCAGAGCCACCGCGAAGGGAGAAACCCGCCAATGCGAGACACACGCCGGCAAACTCTTACCAAGGCTGTGATCCGAAGCCGTACCAGGCAAGCTGCAGGATCTGGAAGCCCAGTCCCAAAAGGATGGTGTTCTTATTTCCTATCGAGCGCATGAGGATTCCCAACACTACTGTCTGCAAAGAAAAACAGGCGCTTTCACAGTCAGCGCAGAGTAAATTGGCAGCACTGGAAGACAAGGAGGGGGATCCGAGGGGACTGGTGCTGCTGTGACACTGACTGTCATCCACACACTCCTCACTCTCGTAACACTGTGTTAGAAACCAGCACGGCCCTGTCCGTGGCACAGCGCAATCTGTGGAGTTTCAGAGTAACACGGGGCCACCCCACGTTTTACCACGGTTTGTTATTTATCAGAAAGAAGGACCTCAGGTAGCTGTGTGTGGGTCTGATCATGCCTGTCTGGCCACAGGGATTCTGACAAGTCACCAGCCCTGATGGTCAGAAATGTGGATGTTCTTATAGTCAGACTGCTAAAGCCAAGGCAGAAATCGCTCCTCACCTGAGCCAGTATAGAGAGGATTCCAACCACACCAATAAAGGCTGCCACAGTCTCCGAGGAAAAACCAATGACCTGTGAAAACACCAAAGAGGACTTTTCAGGCAAGAGTTTTGTACCGTACAAGAAAAGCCACTCCATCGGTGCCAGGAACGTTTACTGATATTGCTTATCAGGTGCTTAAACATTATTCAACTGCACCTTCCACTACCTCCCTGCTGCCACAGGAACACACCAGGAGGTTTTCCTCTGGCTGAAGAAACAGCTCCAAATCACCAGGCTCACCTTGAGGATGGACAGGCAGGCCCCAGCAAGAACCCGAGTCAAGGGTCCTGGCTGCATGGTAGCAAGGTGGCCAGGCTCCTACATCATTCAGAAGAGCTCAACAAGGCCCTGCTTCTCACAGCTTCAACTTTACTAAGCTATTGGCCAAGATCAGCTTCCTCATGACATGCAACTGAGATAATGTTTGCAGGCTGGGATTTCCTGCATTCAGAGCCCTCCCTCATCCTAAGAGACTGACCTGCCGCAGGTAGAGGAAAAAGCTGGAGTACTGGCCAGCTTCAGGAAGGTAGGAGAGAAAGACGGTGATACAGATGAGCAGCACTGTAGAGTCCTGACCCACCTTCCGCAAGGACTGTAGGAAAGGGGAGTGGGGAATGAAAAAAAACAATTTAAAAAGGAGTTAGTATCATTAAATATCTCTAGCTACAGAGACAGCAAAACCAAGTGCTTAAATCACCATCTTATATCCAAGAAGTGAATGCCTGAATGAAACCAGACCAGCGTTTCAGAGGAAGATGCGAACACCGCCCAACGCTCCAGACCAGGTGTACAACTGCATCAGCGTGCACCCCAGAATGAGCAATTTCTGCCCCTCAGTTTCTCAGATTTACAGACAAGTGCTTTTGACCAAAACTGTTTATTCCTCAGACAGCCAAGGTGAGATGAAACTGTGCAAAGCTCATCATCATTAGCAGGAGTCCCAGAAAGCCAGGACACAAAAGACTTCTCCTCACCATTGCTAAGGAATGGAATTTATATCCAAACAACTGGCACGTTTCCACCAAGAGATGCTTTTGCTTCAGGACACCTGGAGCTGCTTTCAGGTGGTTCGTAGCTCTGTTAGATTGGTTAGAAGCTGCTAGACAGCTCTGGATATGTGCAATTTGCCATCAGTTGAACACTGTACCTTCAACAGGGTTAATCTAAGCCTCAATCCTTTGCTCTTTGTGGTACACACCTTCCTTTTGAGAGAAATTAGCAGAACTCAAGCAAATATAAGCATTACCAGCAGGCAGAAGAACAGCAGCAGGATCACTTACAGCGAATGGGTCTGCTTGTTCCCAAGAGATGGGAGCTCCCCAAGAGACCGGGCGCATCTCCTCCGGCAGAGACTCCGGCACAGCCAGCAGGATGAAGCCAATATCCAGCAAAGCGACACCTGAAGCCAGCACAACCACCAGCGTATCGCCGTAGGCTTGGGAAAGGTACGCGCCAATCGCTGGGCTTGTGACCAGGCTGGCAGCAAATGTGGCTGACACCTGGGAGCACAAAACAGAAAACATCAACAGAGCCTGTTCTTCCCGGAGCCTGTTTTCTCCTCCAGAGTAACCCACGTGAACAGTTTTGCCATCTCTGATGGACACAGCCTGGGTGGACGGGGGCTGCTGTGGACAGAAAGATGACAGGTTCTCTTGGTGCAATCTGGGCAAACTTCTAGCAAAGGGAAGTTAAAGCAATCCTAAAAATTCCCATATGACACTTTCAGTACCCTATGGAAAGGGACTGACCACAGGTTACCCGTGTGCATGCCAGCTCCACAGCCTGCCCCTTCCCCACTGCAGAGAGGCTCACAGACCAGGCTGGTTTGACATCACACAACACAGGCGGTGTTCAGATTGCAGGGAAACCAGCCCCCTCTCTCTGTGCTAAATCACAGACAGAACAGGGAGACTGCACTATTAGTGAAGTGCAAATCACCCTTTCACTGACGCTGTCCTCAGGCCAGTCAATAAATCTCCCACCCTCATTTTATATCTCTCCTACCTGCAAAGCCCCAGGTATTTCTTTCAAGAGACGAGCCAGCTATTCAGCTCCTTACCAAGCCATACGCCGTGCTGCGTTCATGCTCCTGTGTGATATCGGCAACGTAGGCAAAAATCACAGAAAAGGTGACAGCAAAGACTCCAGACATGGAAATGACAGCAAAATACCACCTGCAACAGGCATCGCCAAAGGCAGAGTTAGAAAGCAACCACAGGGCACCCACGGCTGCCAAATTAGAACCTCTCCCTTATCCTTCCCTCAGTCCACCCCACTGCATTGACCAGACAGCAACACCGAGCTTCAGTCTGGTGGGCCATGGAGCTTCAGTATTCATTTCCGCCACACAAAGGAAACATCACTGTGCCCCAGCAGTGGTAATGCTCCTAGCAGGAGAACAGGCACCAGGAGAGCACCGACAGACTCTTCCTTTCTGATGCTGAATTCCCCGGCAGAACCAGACAAGTCAATTTGGCTGAGCATTCCCACTAATCAGACTCTCCCTCCTCATCTCAAGTAACACCTGCAAATCCCCCATCCTTCAGCCTCACGCTCGTTCCTCTCCTCAGAGCCCCTTGGGTGTAACGAGAGTGAACTCACCACGGGCTAATCTTCATGAGGGGGATTGGTGCACACGTGAAGAAGACAGTGAGGAGGAGGAAGGATTTCCTGCCCCAGACGTCAGAGAGAGCACCAATCAGTGGGGCACTTAGAAAAGAAAGCAGACCCTAAGACAGACAGACAGACAGACAGACAGGGTGACAGAGAGAAATCCCTCAGTCAAATTCTGACTGCCGATAGCAGGAGTTTTTGACAACACTGTCTAAAAGCACAATGAGACAACCCATTCCTGCCTTCTACAAGCAGGCAATAGTACCAAAACACAACAGTTTGTTAAACTGCTCACATCCTTTTAGGGAGGAAAACAAACCCTCGGCCAGCGAAGTGCTGCTGAACACTGCAGTTACCTCCCAATCTCTGCAGCTGCTCAGCCTCCTTACCTTGACGCCATGAATCAGGCCATTCATCAAGAACGTATGCTGAGGAAACGTCTGGTGTAACACCTACAAAAAACCCCCAAAAACCCAAATCAGAGCTAGCAAACTTTCCTTTACTTTCCATCAGCACCTGACTGCTAGATGCCCGGAAGGGCACAACAGGGAAAATGGGAAATACCGGTGCCACCGCCGTAGCTACGTGAGGAGCTCCCCCTCCCCTCTCCAGCACGGGCAGCCACTTTCTTTCATACTTCCCGGCCCTGTGAATTATTCCAGCACGCTTGGGCGAGGTTGAGGTAACAGGAAACGCCTGTCTCCACCCCTGCACCACCTGAATTCCCTCTGGTTTTACTTCATGCGACCAGATCACTTTTACTGTCAGGTCTTTCACTCCTGCTTCCTTGAAATCCTCCAAAAGCTTTCAGAAATCGAACTCAAGCTTTGCTCCAAGTTACAGTACAATAAATACGAAAATAATTGCCTGACTCCACTAAAAAAGTACTGCAGCTCCAGCTTATTCACACAAGAAAAATTTCACGTACAAACCGTTACGTCCTGGTTTCTACTTCCAATACTCCAAAGGCTTTAAGGTCTTCACCCTCGCCAACCCTCAGGAGCCAGGACTGTTCCCAGGGCGATCCACTCACCGTTAGCATCGGCGTGGTCAGCAGACCCCAGGCAAAGAACTCCAGGAAGATGACAACCACGGCGTGGTACACGCTGGGCTCTCCAATCCCCTGGCGCTGCAAAACAGAGCTCTGTCAGTGAAAAAACACACGGACCCTGAGCCCTGATAGACATAAGATGTGCAAGTGACACCGAGACATCAGCCCTGGCCCAGGCCGCTCCCGAGCGGTTCCCTGCCATTCAGTGCAGGGGAGCTTATGCTGCAGCTCAGCTTCCAGCTTTTCTCTCCAAGACCCATCATCTTTGACACCGTCGTGTTTTCTCTGAACGTGGCTGACTGTATCATCCTTTCCATCTTTGTTCTAAGGACTCTGACACCAAATGCCTCAGATCTCTGGAGATTTTCACAGCTCCCTAGGGAAGGCACTGGGAGTTTGGGAAAGCAGTTCTTCTCCTTGGAGCCAACTCCATCCACCCAGCACAGTGGGAAAGGCCCAGTCCTCAGATCAGCTGTGAAAAAAACCCCACAACAACCCTCAAAGCCTTTCTTTCCCTAATGATTTCTCATGGTGCTCTCAGAGCAGCATTTGTTCTGTCAAAAGTGCCCAACCTCAGCTGCTTGGCCAGGTTTTCTCCTGCCATGCAGGTCACACTTGCAAAGTCACAAGCTCTCAAGGAAAACAAATCGCAAGGAACAGGAGGAAAACACACAAGTTCGCACTGGGTTGCATCGGGAACCACACAGGCCACACAGTCAGCAGCACAGGAACCCGTCTCTTACATTAGCAAACCACACGATCTGAGCTCATCGAGAAGCGCAGTCCAGCCCTGATACATTATTTAAAAAAAACACCTGAAATGTCTGCAATCCCAGCAATTTAGACAGCTTCCAGTGGCTTGAAGAATATCCACAAGTTAAAAAAAAACTTCCAGCAGTTGCACAAGTCTCACATCCAAAGGGAAAGTGGGCTTGGTATGGGAAACCTCGAGTCCACAGGCATTTCTTCGAGGACAAGAGAACGGACTTTTCTGCAACATTTCTGCACTATGCTCCTGAGACATAAACCATTTAACGGACCAGAGCAAGGCCCTGTCTGTATCAGCATCCTCCTCCAGCACTGCCAGATTCTGAGCCAGGAACTCAAGAAACGCAGCATGTGAAGAGCGATCTCTCCCCCAGCCACATCCTCCCAGGCTTTGGCAGAATAAGACTGCATTTCAGATCACTAATACAGCTGTAAGCTTATTTGAAGTACGAGAGAAGGTAGCAAGAGATGCAATTCTGCTGAAGTGTCGTTTCTGCTCACAGACT